AGGCAGAGGCAGGCGGGTCTCTGGGATCCAGGCCAACTGCGACTACAGGGGGACCAAAAAAAAAAAAAAAAAAAAAAAAAAAAAAATGGAAACACAGAAACATAACTCTGTCAATATCAAGAAATAAGTACCATCCTATATTGGATAATATTCTTTCTTAAGGATACAGTTTACCAATCTGCAAATAAGATACAGTACTCTTTGGCTTTAAAAAAAAGTTCTTCTAAATGTTATTATCCTTTTGCAACCCTTCTTACAAGCTACTTTTTTCTGCTTTGGCCGTATGTTGGTATATAACATTCAGGTTTATTCATTTTCACTGCTGTATGATATTCCACACTTTAACTATGGCACATGTGTTTGTGATTTTCATTTGCATGGTCCTCAAAGTTTATTTCCTGTTTACCGCAATCATACATGTAACTGCTGTGAGTGCTCTGATATGGGATTGTGCAATTGCACAAGAGTTTCCTCAGGTTATCCATGTAGGAGTCCATGAGAAGGGGTAGAATGTGTGTCCATCTTCATACCTGCTGTTGCCAAATGTCTCCTCAAAGTTGGACCAATTTCCATACTCCCAGCAGGACCTGGGCTTTCCCCTAGCCCTTATCTACATGGAAGCCCCACAGGGCCATACTTTTTTTATTTTGTCATATTTTTGCAGTCGGAAAACAAAACTAAATTTCTGTATTTGAATTTGTATTTCCTGGGTTCTGAGATTCAGTCTCATTATCCGGGAGAAGTTCAGTATGTGAAGTTAAGTTATGGGGCAGGGGAAGGTATGCATACTTCAGATAGCTAAGTGGTTGAATTGACTAACAACCTTTGTTTGGTTGAGGGGTGCTGAGGATGGAGTGGAAGGTCTCTTGTAATCTAGGCAGGTGCTCAATCACTGAGCTACACCCCAGTCCATTTGCAGTTACTTTGTAACCCACCCATGTTCCCAAATATAGGGCAAATTTTAAACAAATGTTCACATTGAATCTGTAGCATCTTAAAAATTGTGTGTGTGCATGTGTATGTTCATGTGCTTGTGTGTACTGATGTGTGTGTCTCTTTGTGTGTGCAGTGTGTGGGTGGGTACATGTGCATGTGTGTGTATGTACACATACCATGGCACGTGTATGGAGATCAGAGGACATCTTGAAGAAGTAGGTTCTCACCTCCCACCATGTGGGTCTCAGGGATCAAACTCAGGTCCTCAGTCATGGCTGTAGGAACATTCATCTGCTGAACCATCTTGCCCAGTCCCTTGTTGATCTTTTGGCTGATTCCTTGACCTTGACCATATTTTTAAAATCACCATCTTAGTGATCTTTCACATAGCCTTCCCTCATTTACACAAGTTAGTTAATTGGGAATTGGTTTTAATAGTTGACATGACACCTGCCATGATGTGTAGGAAGACGGGGCATATGGGACCTTCAAGGGCAGGGGTCCTTGTGATTTCCAGGTTCACCTTGATCTAGCATCCCCTCTGCCACAGTTCCTGGGAGATGCTCAGACCAATCCCCAAAGCCACTAGTGGACTTCTCAGGGAAGCCTGCTGTCTCTGTGTCTGAGTCACCTGCCACCAGGTGGGGCCCCTGTCCTGTCAGCACTGTGGTCCATCACAGCTGCTTTCACTTTCTGGTCTTTTCTGTAAGTTACTTAGGTACTGTCCCTCCCCTGTATGTGTGTTTATGTGTGCATGTGAACATGTGAACATGTGTGCGAGTGCATGTGAAGGCCAGAGGACAATCTTCAGTGACATTCCTCAGGTTCTGTCTAACCTCTTTTTCTTGAGATAGGGTCCCTCACTCATCCAGAGCTCACCAAGTAGGCTAGGCTGACTGGCCAAAGAGTCCCAGAGACTCACTTATCTTTGCCTCCCTAGTGCTGAGATTATAAGGAGTCAGCACTCTGCCTGGCTTTTCTTACATGGTTATTGGGCCTCAAGTTCAAATCCTCAGGTTTGTAAGACAAACCCTTTACCACCTGAGCTCTTTCCCTTTGACTCTTTATTTCTGTCACTGCCTTGTCCTTAGTAGAATGTAACATCTGCATCTTTGTTGATCACCTCTATCTTTCTAGAATATTCTCTCACACATAATGAATTTTTAATAAAGATTTTTTTCAGTTAATGAATGGGCTACAGTTTGTAAGGATCAAGATGAGAAGAGAAATATGAATGAATGAAGGGAGGGAGGAGGGGACCAAGGGAGGGACTCTTCATGTGTCAAGTCCCAGAACCAACACATGGACTGGGCCACGAATAGGAACAGCAATGTAACTGAGTGACCCTTCAGGTAGGCCGTGTTGGTGGCAGTTGCAGAAGACATAGTTAGCAGTCCTAATCAGCAGTTTGGACTTGATTTTGAAAACAAGCCCTCATATGATTCTAATCATATGAGATTAAAACTGACATCTTAGAACCCCGGGTCCTGGCCCCAAGAGGGATGGCACAGAGGGTTGTCACAGTGATTGGGGTGGTTAAGGAGACAGTGGCCACATCTAAAGAGAACTGGATGACTCACAAAGATACTGTTTCTCCCTGTGACCCCCAGAGTTAGTGAAATCCGAGAACCAGCTGCATCTGGCCTGGGCTGAACCACAGGCCTTGCTTCTGCCAAGCATGCTCTTAAGTAATCAAATTGGGAAGCTTCCAGAGTGCTCCACCCACAGGGTCAGCTCTCCTGGTGAAAACGATCTGGAGCGAGCTGTTCTTCAGAAATAACAGAGCAGCGTGCAGGTTGAACTGGAAGTTTGTTGGAAGGAAGGTAGCATTTAATGTCCAAGTTCCCCTGCTCTCCAAATCTTTTGTGCAAATAAATTAGTTTCATTTGTCTCAGGGCACCTTTTCCAGGCCAACTTCTTCCAACTTGCCTGCAAATGTTTCTCAGTGGTGTGCTTGGGGCTTGGCTTCATCTCCCTGACTGGGACCAACCAATCTTTTATTCCCAGGAAATAGCTGGATGATGATTCTAGACTCTTGGACCCTGTTTCCCCTCCCAGCTGTTGAATTCACTATTGGATACCTTAATCACTTGCAGGTTAGCCTACTTCCTCCCCTGTCTGCTTCTTATTAAGAGGAGTTTCAGGGGCTAGAGAGATGGCTCAGTGGTTAAGAACACTGGCTGCTCTTGCAGAGGACTTGGGCTCAGTTCCCAGCACCCACATGACAACTAACAACCATCTGCAACTCCAGTTCCAGGGGATCCAATGCCCTCTTCTGGCCTTTGCAGGCATTGCATGCACATGGTGCACTTATGTACATGCCGGCAAAACACGCATACACATGAAATCAAATCAAATAAATAAAAGAGGAGTTCCTCTGGAAACAGATGCTCCCACACATTCTTGGAGAGACTTCTAGGATTAACATCTGTTTCTTCAAGACTGCCCTGAGATGCAGTGGGTGTGGGGCACATAGGTTATTTCCTTCCATCACCTCCCTCACTTGCTGGGCTTGGGTCCAGCAGTCACGCATTCCACCACAGTCTAAAATCCTCCAGATGATGGGAATACCATGTTGCTCAGTTCACATGAGAAAGCCGAAACACCCCTCCTCTTGTTCAAATTGCAACGAATCTAATTTCCATGGCCCTGTGCAAGTGGGAGCTCCACAGCTCCGTGTCAGCTGTCGAAGTTTAGCAATGTTATTTCCAAACACAGGCCTGTAGGCAGCCAGCAGGCACTAGACAGCTGAGTGCTGGCAGAAAAAGTCCCAGACACCTATAGCCATCCAAAAAGTGACTCATCTCACTATTGCCAGGATAAATATGGGAATAAATGGTATTTTTCTACAAGCAGGAAGAAGTCTCAAAATGCTTATCACTATATAAAAATAACAGATTGTACCTGTTCCTGTTTTGAAATGTTCCAATCATTCAGTAAGAATTTTTATTTTTATGTTTTTTTTTAAAGTTATGGCTTTAGCTTGTTTTTCTTCTTTCTAGGAGACCAGGAGAAGCCCAGAGTTTCCGCTCTGTACTGCCACCAGATCTCTGGATCCATCTGGCTGTGGTGGCCTGTGGCAACCGGCTTGAGGAGACACTGGTCATGCTCAAGTCTGCTGCGCTCTTCAGCCACAGGAAGATGCGCTTTCACATCTTCACTGAAGATGCTCTAAAGCCTGAGTTTGATAAGCAGGTGAGCTGGGGGCACCATGGTGAACTGGGGGCACCATGCTGAACAGGGAGTACCATACTGAACTGGTTGCACCATGACATGGTATTTGCTGAGACCAGAGGAACCACAGAGCCAGGTCATGAATATAGCTGGCTGCATGCTATCTTATGACCTTAAACCTTTGGCTCAAAGCCCCCCTTTGCTTGTATATGGTATAGAGATAGCCCAGGGAGATGGTTCTGTTTGTAACACACTCTCTACTCAAGTTGTAAGAACATGAATCTGATTCCTAGAACCCACAGTAGAGTGTGTCTGTAAGCCAGCACTGCTAAAGTGAGATGGGAAATAGAGACAGGAGAATCCTCAGAAACACGTGGGCCAGCTAGCCCGGTGTGTGCAGCAGTGAACAGAAAGAGATCATGTCTCAGGGCTGGAGAGATGGCTCAGTGGTTAAGAGAGCGCATTGACTGCTCTTGCAGATGACCCAGCTTCAGTTCCCAGTACCCACAGCAGCTAACAACCATCTGTGATTCCAGTTTTAGGGGATCCAATACCCTCTTCTGGCCTCTGTGGTCATTACACATACATGGTGCATTTACATACAAGCAGGCAAAAGACTCATGCATATAAAAAGTATCTTTTCAAAGAAACCCTGTCTCAAACAAGGTATAGGGCAAGGACCCACAACCAAGGCTGTCCTTTGACTTCCACATGTGCTCCATGACATGTACATGTGACCATATTTACACACAGAGACACATGCACACACCCAAGATTTTTTTAAAATGAGGCTAATCACACCCTCCTCTTACAGATATCAGGAACATTAAAGTATATGACATGGAATGTCATCCAAGTTCAATTATTAATAACATTCACATTTCTGGGACAAATAGCTTATGTTTATGTATTTTTCATTTTTGATAACTTCATATATGAGTGTTGTATTTGTATTATTTCCATTCCTCCCGGTCCCCCTTCAACTCCCCCTATCCCCCCACTACCTCTCAATTTCTTGTCCTTTTCTTTGGTTATTATTGTTACATATACATACATACAAATAGACAAAAACACATATATGTATATAATGTGCTGAGTCCATTTAGGGGTGCAATTTGAATAGCCTCCAGGGATCTAGTCCCTGTATATTTATGCATTGACGAGTGGACTTTAAATAACGAGTAGCACATTGATTGATATAAATCCAAATAATATAGATGGCTGGGCGCAGTGGCATGTCTTTAATCCCAGCACTTGGGAGGCAGAGGCAGGCAGATTTTTGTGAATGAGAAACCAGCCTGGTCTACATAGTGTGACTCTGTCTCAAAAAAAAAAAAAAATCCACAACAAACAAAAAACAAATAATATAGATGATAAAAGACAGATGTTCCCACTACCCTCCAGTCTCACATGAGAGATGGTCAGAGGTAACAATCTGGGTAGCTTTCCACATTTCCTTTCCATCTGGAGGTGGCCGTATGTATCTGTGTATTCCTATATGTAGACACACATATGCTGAATTAGACACATCTGCATGCATGTAGCCATACATTCATGCATACATGTATCCAGATTAAAGTGTTATTTTTCACAAAATCAGGACTGTGTTCTCCTGGCTCCTCCGAAGATGACATCATGTCATCAGCATTGCCCCAGCCCATGCTTGGACATCCTCACTTCTGTTTTGGGGGGGATTAATGATGCAGCCGGGTCTCTGTTTATTTGACTTTTCCCATTCTGAGTTTTGACCTGTACACAGAAGAGCTCTGGGAGGCTGCTTCCCCCAGTGCAGGTCCATGCCTGATTGTGGCAAGCTAAGCTTTGTTTTCCTTGGAAGTTTTCCCTTGCAGCAAATTTTTGAATTCTGGCAGAGGAAAAAACCTGCTTTCTTTTGTTTCTGCTGACTCCAGTCTGTAACAGTGCTGCGTCCCATCACCAGGCTGGCCGAGTTCATGAAGGATGCCAAAAACAGCATGTTTGGCAGAGAAGGGCTAATAACAGAAAGCTAGACAATTGTTGTCTTGACCAAGAGAAACCATGAGCCTGCAGTCTGAGGGCTTTGGAGTCCATTGGAGGAATGCCTTAGAGAGTGACTCTGGGCCACAGGAATGAAAAAGCTGGACTGCTAATAGTTAGCTGCTCTAAATCTATGATATAAGGAAATAACAGTTATATTATAATGCATATGATTATGATGTCAACTTAAGATTCATGATTTCATCTCATTAATCCTCACAACACCACTTGGCAGAAGGTAACCATTATATTCCAAGTCAGTGTTCATTACTATAATAAAATATCTGAGACTAGGTAGCATTCAAAAGAAAAGAGGCTCATTTAACATAAACTGGAGTTTCAAAGGCATGGGACCAGTATCAACTTAGTTTGGCAAGTAAAGACCTTAAGGCAGATGAGGTGGTAGAGATGGTACCTTACCACAACCAGAGCATGTATGGAAAGAGATCACATTGCTAGAAGGAAGCCAGAGAGAGGCCAGGGTGTGGCCAGGCTTGATGTTTTAGAACAGCCCTCTTGTGGGAACTGAGTCCAGGAGAACTTCCTTAACCCCATCTGAGGGCATGCCCCAGTGACCTAAGTTCCTCCCGTTAGCCTCACCTTTTTAAAATATTTTCTTTATTATTTTTATTTTATGTGTATGAGTGTATTGCCTGCATGTATGTGAGTGCACATGTGTCACGCAATGCTGCAGAGGTCAGAAGAGGGTTTCAGATTCCCCTGGAACTGGAGTTAAGGATGGTTCATTGCCGCCATGTGGGTTCTGGGAGTCGAACCTGGGTCCTCTGCAAGAGCAGTCAGTGCTCTTAACTGCTGAGCCATCTCTCCAACCCCTAGCCTCACCTTTAAACATCACTACACTGAGGACTAGGCTCCTGACACATGAACTCAAACTTTAGCACCCTAGTTTGCAGACTGAGAAAACTGAAACTCAGAGAGTTTTAAAGGTTTGTTCATGAAATGCCAAGTTAAGTTGCTGACTCTAATCCCTCATCGTCATCATATCTCCTGGGCTAGGATTCAGAGGCCTCAAAACTCAAGTTTGACTGGCCCTGGGATCTTGGGCAAGGGTCTGTGCATGCTTCTCTTTCCCCATCTGCAACTTTGATCTGACCGGATATTTTAGAAAGATGATAGATCTATGTGCAGGATAAGTCAGGTCAGCTGCAGGAACATCTCCTACAGAGCTCATGGCTGTGCATGTCTTCTGCCTGTCTCCCACAGCAGACTATCTGTTCCACATGGCCTCTGAGTTAGACAGAAACTGAGAGAGACTGCTCATGTCCAAATCCTACCTATGGGTACCTTGGGCATCCAGGGCTCCTGGGGTGCCACTGCAAGAAACACTGGAACATCAGGACCATGCCCTTTTTTTCAGTCCATGTTGTCACATGACATGAGTCTCTCCAATATACCTTGAACCATCCAGAAGCAACCACAGGCCCATCCATCTATCTGCAGGGGCCTCAGATCTCTTCATACATAAGAAAGGACTGGCCATGAACACACAGTACTCATATAAAACATTGTCTATCCAACAAGTGTTTATTGAATTGCTCCTGAATGCTGGATGCTGGCATGTGGGACTGGAGCACTGCAAATCACATTTGGATGTAAAACACAGGGAAAGAGAGATGTGCCTGATGCATCTGTGTGGCCAACTGTACCTTCCAGAGAAGCACCTAGTGGCTCCACCTAGTGATCCTGCTTTCTGCTATTCACACCCTCCCACGCTCCTCTTCTGTACTGCACCAGGATTGGTCTGTAGAACTGATAACATTGGATGTAAGTGGCACTGGGTGACTTTTGAGAGTTGGCCGTAAAAGACACTTCACTGCCCCTCTTGCATTACCTATTCAGGATGAAGCCTGTTGCTATGTCCAAGTGGTCCTTGGGGGGTTGCACATGGCCAGGAATGGAATCCTCTTGCCTGGGCTCATGTGTGAACTTGGAGGCAGATCCTCCAGCTTCAGGAGAGGCCCTGTTAAATCTTCAGATGACTGTAGGCATCCTACGCCCAATCTCAGGCAAGGCTCAGAACCAGATCACAGATTCCTAACTGTAAGAAATGATTGAGGGGGCTGGAGGACGGCTCCGCAGTTAAGAGCTCTTGCTGCTCTTGCAGAGGACCTGGGTTCAGTTGCTATCACCTACATGATGCTCACAACTGCCTGAAACTCCAGTTTCAGAGAATCAAATGCCCTCTTCTGGCCTCCACAGGCACTAGACACATATGTGGCACATAAAATTACATGCAGGAAAACACTCATACACCTAAAACAAAAATAAATCTAAAAACTTTTTTTAAAAAAGAAATTATCGAGTAGGTTCTGGTAGCACAGGCTTGTAATCCTAGCTATGTTGAGGGGGTGAGGCTGAGGCAGAAAGATCGAAAGTTCAAGTCCTAGCTGGGCTACAGAGTGAGTTCTTGGTCAACACAGGCAACTTAATGAGACCCTATCTCAAAAACAAAAAGTAGAAAGAGGGCCAAGGATATAGCTCAGTGGTAGAGCACTTGCCTAGCATACATGAGGTCTTGAGTTCAATCCTCTATACTATACGTATACACACACACACACACACACACACACAGTGGTAGGAGGTGAACGTTTATGGTTTTAAGCTATTGCTTTTGGGGATGATTCAATGTATAGTGATAACTAATGCTTCATTTGTGTGCACACACATGTGCATAGCTACACATTCAGCTGACAGAGTGTGACAGATATAGTGGCATGTGATATCATGGGAAGGCAGCAACTTTTACTTCACCCTCTGTGATTGACCTGACCTACAATTTTACACCACGCTCAAGGAAGCTCAAAATAGCCTGTATGGACCAGGAGAGGCCAACAGAGAGATGAGGGGGGCCTCAGTCCACCAGGCATGTAGATGAAGTTGCCTTCTGAGGGTCCAGGCCGCCTTCAAGGCTTCGGGCATGTTATGAAGTAGGAGCTGACTCATTGGGAAGTGATGGTTGATGCCTTTGACGCTGTGCTATATGT